AGAAATTTTTACCAAGAAACATTGGCGTAGGGATAAAATTCATACTTAAAAGTAATCATTTTATGTAATATCATTAACGCTCTATTTTTAATATTATTTTAATATTGATCAATACATATAAAAATATTTGCTTTTTCTTAAATCTTTATATATATATATATATATATATATATATATATATATATATACATACATACATACATACATATATATATATGATCGAAATAAAAGTATAAAATTTAATATTACAAGACATATTAAAACAATATTAAATAATAAAAAAAAACAAAAAAAACAACAACAAGGGGGGGGGAAGCAACCGGTTTCGCTCCCGCTCGTCAGGCTTCCACGGCTTCATATATATATATATGATATTTTTAAAAAGCTAAAAAAGAACAACCGGTTTCGTCCCAGCCTTATCAAATTTATTTTCTGGGATATAAAATATATATAAGCGTGTAAATTAAATTAATATAACGAATGAAAACTGGAAAAAATATGAATTTCAAGAAAACTGGAGTCCAATAACATTATGACCCAATAAGCATTCCCTCTATCTACAAGAAACTATATATATATATATATATATATAGAGACGCTTTCACAACAGTTTTTTTTCACAGACATTATGTCAGTAGTAAGTGATGTTAAGATTTCTAGTTCCCTCCGGATATTCGGGCTGCAACGAGGAAATAAATCCGTTGAAAAAAATGCATAATTTTCTTATTAGTTTTTCGAACTGTCTCCGAATACAGACTGATAGTTCCCATCTATTTCTATATAGATCAAACATTCCGCGTATTTCAAATAGGTGCTTGTGCGGTGTATTATTAAATGACATTGTATAATCTATGAAACATAGGTATAGATCAATATATGTGCAGACATAGAAGGCACATTGTAAAAATGGCCCTTTGAAGCTAAGCAAACTATTAAGCAACCGGGAAATTTCGTTATAAACACAAAGAAAAAGACTGTCGAATTGCTATGTAATATCAATCATCTTACATAGCAGTATATCCTGAAAAAATTATTACTGGGTTTACGAGCACTGAAGTTAAGCAACGTCAAGCCTGGACAGTACATAAATAGGTGATCGTTTGGAAATACAATGTGTTGTAAGTTTGGATATGCGATCAGTGATCCCTGGAAAATATATGAATCCACTTATTTCCCCCAGTTATGGATTAAATAGTAAAACTTATCTCACCTAAATCATTATTATCACCAAAAGAAATTCTTATAATATAAAAATATTTTCTGGCTTTGAATAACATGCAAATGTTGAAGAGCCGTAAAAAAAACGAGTCAATCTCCTCAAGGAAAGGAGACTTAAGTCTAGCTAAGGAGGAGAGTTAAGTCAACAGAAACATAGAAGGATGCTGAGAATATATCGGGCATAAAACCTAATCGTTGCTTACATGGTAAGAAATATAGAAATAAAAATGGATACTTGTACTTAAAATAAGAAAGATTTGAAATTTTTGGATAAATTATGAGGAAAGTGGGTTTCGTGAACATAACACTCACATGATGGTAAGTGGGGCATAAGTTGATTGCGAGTCACCTACCTCACGAGCATGTGCAAATGGACGGCAGAACAGGAGTTGTGAATGGTAGTATAATGACAATAATTGCTAAGTGTTACACAAACAAGAAATTGTGGAGAGTCATGACCATCGATGCCCTGAGAGTATAGGGAATAGAGGATAATTGGCATGTTAATCGGTGTTTAAGCAATAGAAATTATTTAAAAGAAGTATTTTGTAAAACCGTATTATATGATATTTGATACATGTTTCGGAATAGGCTTTTTTATGCGTCGAAATTTATGCCTAACTTTCTGGGGATTGAACATTTAAATAAAGTAAAAAGTACCTCCTAACAATAAACGAACCTGCATTCCATTTTCAATCTGATAAACTCATTTCAAGCCGAGTGTTATTTATCACTGAAACACAGCAAGTCATCGACACAATGTAATTCTCATTTACCCTATTTCACACAAACCAGATATATCTATTTCAGGAATAGGGTAAGTGAGGTATCTTTTGTTGTTCCAACATCATATGTCTCAACAGTAAGCGGCACTTGGCTTGAAAGTGGCTTTTTCACATTAGGAACGTAATACAAGTTCGATTCCAGTGGTGAAATATATTCTTAAAAAAAAATCTTTCAAGGTCTCGGCCGGTAGAGATTAATTTCACTGCCTAACAAAAGGAGACACCTACTCAGACATATATAGTTTACGGTAAAAAATATTCAGTCAAAGGAATTAAATATTTCAATTCGACAAATATTTGGAAAAATATCAATCCTAACATGATTTCTCTGAATTCGAACTTGTCGCAGTTGATATAGAAGCACGCATTTACAGAGCAGATTAGAGTTAAGATTATATTTAAGCTCCAGCAATATATCCTAATATCACTGAAAATATAAATAATACAAATAAACTATTTTCTTAATTAGAAGAAAAAACATCCTATAAAGTTTGTAATTTACTCCGGTGTCAATACACTTGTTATTAATTATATGGTCGTTTCTCGCCTGAAGAACTTTGCCAAGAAACCGTTTACAAGAAAGATTAAATTGCTGCTTGAATTATGTTGGAAACGGAATTTTATATTCCTCTGAGCATTCAGTTTAAAATGGTTTCTGAATAGCCTTTATCTTGTCAGACCGTTTCATGTCCTCCCTTGCGTCAGCAGAAGTTATTAGTGTTAAAATCTGAAAACGGTTTTTCTCTAGATGATTAACATAGAGGAATTTTAGTAGAGAGAAAGAGAGAAAGAGAGAGAGAGAGAGAAAGAGAGAGAGGGTGATAGAGAAAGAGAAAATACGCGGAAAGTTGAAGATAAATATAGCAAGAATCAGAAATAAACAGGAGTCTTATAAATAGGAAGCTAAAAGAGAGAAAAATGGAGAAATTATAGATGAATATCTAGCGAAAAAAATAAACCACGGATTAAGAATTAAAGAATAAGAATCAAAGAATGAGAATTAAAGAATAAGATTTTAAAAATAAGAATTAAAGAATAAGAATTAAAAAAGAAGGATTAAAAAATAAGGATTAAAAAGCAAGAATTAAAAAGCAAGAATTAAAAAACAAGAATTAAAGAATAAGAATTAAAGAATAAGAATAAAAAAAACAAGAATTAAAAAAAAACAAGAATTAAAAAGAAGAATTAAAATATAATAATTAAAAAATGAGAATTAAAAATAAGAATTAAAAAAAAACAAGGATTAAAAAATAAGAATTAAAAATAAGAATTAAAAATAAGAATTAAAGAATAAGAATTAAAAATAAGAATTAAAAAATAAGAATTAAAAATAAGGATTAAAGAATAAGAATTAAAAAATAAGAATTAAAAAATAAGAATTAAAAAATAAGGATTAAAAAATAATGATTAAAAAATAAGAATTAAAGAATAAGAATTAAAGAATAATAGAGAAATAGAAAAAAGATGTTTTTGAAGAAAAGTAATCATCAGAACGATTAAACCGAGGAAGGCAGACGGAAAGAAATTAAAGAGAAGCTAGCGAAAGACAAAATGACGAACAGAAATTACGATATACCTGGTGTAACAGCGAAATTGTCTAAATCGTCATAATTGTCCATTTCATAAAATGTTTAATATCTAAAAAAAAAAATCAAACTAACTGAGTTTATCTTTTCCAGGATTTCAGATAGGACGTTTAGCCATCTTGATACCATTTTTTGTAAGAATCAGTGAAAAATCTTTCGAGTTATTCTGCTAGAAAGAGAAGACGATGAAATCCTTTTGTGTCAATCCCACCAAATTTCCAAATGAGCAATGGTGGGAAGAAAACGAACATTAAGGCCTTCAGTAATGGTACCAACTTTCATACACTGGCTTCCATCTTCAAAGACCATTCAAGAACCATCAAGGGAACGGTGAATATTTTTTTAAAAGAGGGAACAGTAGAGAGGGAAAGTGGATCAAGAGGTCACAACAGTAAGAGGTATTCATCATTTCAACTTAGAGCTAAAAGATAAATTAGAAAATATCCAACTTAGTCCATAACACGTTTAGCACGTGAGAGAGTAAATTCGGCTATGGCAGTCGAAAAAGAAGTGAAAAAAAAAAGTTGAAAATGAGGTCGTACGTGAAATATGTGAGGCTGTCATAGCTAAAATTACTCTCTCATGTGCTAAACGTGTTACGGTTTGAGTTGGATCTTTTCTAATTAAAAAAAAAAGCAGTGAATAAAAAAAGAGTTGAAAATGAGATCGTACGTGAAATATGTGAGGCAACTTGTTACTCCAGGAAAGTTAGAGTTCGCGAAGATCATCTTGAACAATTTGAAAAATGATCCTGAAATTTTATATATATATATATATATATATATATATATATATATATATATATATATATATATATATATATATATATACACACACACATATATATATATATATACACATATATACATACACACACACACACACATACATATATATATATATATATACACACACACACACACATACATATACACACATACACAAACACACATATATACACATATATTTACACATACACACACACATATATACACACATGCACACACACATATATTCACACACACATATATACACACATACACACACATATATATTAACTTTATTTCGATCCTTCGTGAGCTTCCGGATCTTAGCCATAATTAATTAATGATGAACATGTCATTTTCGTTTATGATCGAATTCATCACGATTCTTCCTTTAAGCTTGAAGAGTAATTATACATTTTATTGTTTAAAACCAATAGTGTTATAAAAGCCTTAGTGAATTCCAGTAAGATATTTTAATCGATTCTAGGATACAACTGCTCAAAGCTTAATCTAACAGATGGACAATTTTCTTGTACACGATTTGTACAATTTTGCTGTTACACCGAGTACAAAAAAAATGAACAGGAAAAAAAAGAAGAGAATATGCGTTGGTACGGTCCAGCTGCAAATAAAAAAAAGATTACGAGTAGGTGGTATGGTCCAATTTCAAATGAAAGAGAGAACATGCGTAGGGTATGGCGCAATTGCCAATGAAAAGGAGAAAAGACATGGACAGGGCCAAATTGCAACCAAAAGAATGCAAAGAAGCTCTATTAAAAGTTGAAACTCTGTTAAAATTTCATTCTGCAATAAACTTTAGCGGAAAAAAAAAACTAGAAAGTTTGTTAATATGTGAGGAAAGAGCGGGACGGCGGCCCCCAACCCTGCGGGAAAACAATCGAATGCCATACTGGAGGAGAGGAGAAAACCGAATACCATACTGAGGGGGAGGAGACAACCGAATACCATACTAGGGTGGGGAGACAACCGTATGCCTCACCGTGGGGGTGGGGAAACAAAAAACGTATGCCTCACGGTGGGGTGGGGAGACAACCGAATGCCATACTGTGGGAAAGAGACAACCGCATGCCATACTGTGGGGGGAGACAACCGGATGTCATACTGTGGGGGGAGACAACCGGATGCCATACTGTGGGGTGGGGGGAGACAACCGAATTCCACCCTGTGTGGGGAGACAACCGAATGGCATACTGGAGGGTAGACAACCGAATGCCACGCTGGGGAGGGGGCACGCTCAATCGAATGACACATTGTGGGGATGACATCCGAATTCCATACTCTGGTGGGTGCAACCGAATGCAAGACAATAAATGAGCTGAAGGTGCAAATATTTTCTAAGGGTCAATCCAAAAGCGAACCAACGGAATTCCAGAGAGAAACGAAGTGGAATCGAGTGAAAACGAGTGAAACAACTTGTCACTCTTTGATTCAGCATTTTGCAGTAAAAAAGAAAGAACGTCAAGTTAGGGGGAGACAAGAAAACAAGTCGAGAGAAACCAAAAAAAGAGTAGGGAGAGGTGAAATGTATCAAAGGCAAAGTCAAAGGAAGAAAAGAAGCAATTACTAATGGAGAAGAGCAACGTCAAAAGGAAAACACTTCACTGGCAATCGTATAAGGACAATAAAAAAAAGAGCTGTTTCATGGAAAATTTTCTAAATTACGCAATGAAGAAAAAAATGTAAAATTTGAACGTACGACAAAAGAGTTAAATTTTCTTTTACGATGCCATGAGTTATTTTCTTTTCTGAAATATATATATATATTTTTTTTACAATTATTTATTTTATTTTCGCCTCTGCACCACTATCCACCGTTTCTGCACGGGAAGCGTTACCAAGTCTCCTGAAAACGTTTCGCTGTTTGTAAATGTTTTCCGGTAATCATGTGATTCTTATTTAAATGACAAAGTTATTTATAGTACGCGGTAACGAATGAACGGTCCAGCCATCGCCTCAACCAGTCAGCCTAGCATCGAATTGTCCGCGCACTTCCCTTCTACTTGCTGCTTGTCGAGTCGGTCATGTGGCTTGATTGGCTTAATCAATCATGTTATTAGACCAATTCAAGTCTTGAGACTCGCAGACATTGTCTGAGATTGGTTCTTTATCTATTTTCGACTTTTTACCGATATCTCTCAATGGCTTTCTCTTTTACACGTACACACACAATTCATCGGTTCCTATCATTCCACTTTTCTCTCTGTTGGATCATATATTTCTATCTGCACCGACCTCCCCATCTCTCTGTCCATATCTTTCAACATTCATTGGTTCATATCTATCTTTCTCTCTGTCACCTCTTCTTTTGTCTCAGTCTGTTGGTGAAAATCTTTTTATTTTTATCTCTATCAAAATATCTATTTCTACCTAAGTCGGTCGGTAACTTTCTACTTGACTTTCTCCGTCTCTTACCTCTCTCTCTCTCTCTCTCTCTCATTCTATATTTTTCAACAACTGGTTCAAACATATCTTTCTCTGTCGGTTCTACGTTTCTCTCTCTTTGTGCATAATTTTATATTTCTCTCTTCGCCAAAACGTATATATTTCTACCCCTTTCTCAGTCAGTCAATCCATTTCTACCCGCCTTTTCTTTTCGTCAGCAATACATTTTCTTCACTACTCCTTTCTCTCTCTCTCTCTTTATATTTTAAAGCAATCACTGGTCCAGGCTTTTTTTATCTGTTTTGTTTGCTAAAGCAAATATTTCTACCTTTCGATCAACCCATACATTTCTTCTTTCTTTTTCTCAGGCCGTATATTTCTATTTTCCCATTCTTTATTTCTCAGACTATATTTTCCCACAACGACTGGTTCACACTTTTCTATCTTTCTCGATGTCAAATCGTATTTTGCTATCCCTCTCTGCAGTCGATCCACATTCTTTCTCTGTGTTGGTCCATTCATTTAGACCTTTGCGAAAGGCTCTCTTTCTGTAGGTCCCTATAAGTTTTAACATTGACTGCTCCATACCTATCTCTTAATCTCTCCGTTCCACTTTTGTCCTTCTCTTTTTTAAACGATGCATTCTTTTTCGGATCTCCCATATATTTGTACTGCTTTTCCACGCAGTCCATATCAGTCCCCTATATTTATACTGCATTCTCACTCGGTCCATATCAATCCCCTATATTTATACTGCTTTCTCGCTCAGTCCATATCAATCCCCTATATATATAATGCTTTCTCACTCAGCCCATGTCAATCCCATATATTTATATAGCTTTCTTTCTCAGTCCATATCAATCCCATATATTTATATAGCTTTCTCTCTCAGTCCATATCAATCCTATATATTTATAATGCTTTCTCTCTCAGTCCATATCAATCCCCTATATTTATACTGCTTTCTCACTCAGCCCATGTCAATCCCATATATTTATATAGCTTTCTCACTCAGTCCATATCAATCGCATATTTATATTGCTTTCTCACTCAGTCCATGTCAATCCCATATATTTATATAGCTTTCTCTCTCAGTCCATATCAACCCCCTATATTTATACTGCTTTCTCTCTCATACTTTCTCCCTTAGTGCATATCGATCTAAACAACCTTTTATCCCTTCATATACTAAGATATTTTTTGGCGAAATTTAAAAATAAAGTCAGTAATAACCAATATAAAAATAGCGTTTCTAAGCTTAATTAAAATGCACATCGAGACACATCGGACATTAGTAATATAAACTTAAATTTTAACTTTTCCTTTCTCGCTATATAACCATAACCGGTCTTATTCTTGTTCATTTCCCTCCAAGAAAGGCGGGAATGTTACCAGTTCGCAGAGCGTTACAGAAAGTGAAAGTAATGGAAATGACTCGGTAAAAAGAGGGATTGAGGAAAGGAGAAAAAATGAACGGGATTCAAGATCATAGAAGATGGCGATTGACGTTGCATTTAAATTACAGCATGGATAAGATAACCACATCAATAATTTTCGATTCTAAGAAATGTCTTCTCTTTAGAAAGCTGAAATGAATGATAATCTACAAAAAATATCCATTCCCGCCAAAATCTTTCCTATTTTTTACGGACTGACCTGTCAATTTAAGTAGTACCAGAAATGGGATATGTAAAATTGCGAAAAATTGTAATACCAATAATAGCACATCGAATGGCAATTATATTAACTAAAATTAGTTCGTACCATAATCCAAACCAGGGAAATATGAGTTCAATTTATTAGAAATCCTTCGATCGAAATGTTAGCGTTTATTTCCGTTTATACTGTGTTATGTCTTACTTATTTGAGCAGTTTCTGTTTAAATTATTTATTGCAGCGTCTTCTTTAAGACGTTGGGGCAAGTGCGTCAATTTCTTGCAGACAAGTCTATAATTTATTCTGCAAATAAAACCGTAGGTACTGACAATCGCTTCTAGGTCATTAGAAGTTGGCATGGAAACCCCATTCGGTGACTCACGACATTAAGCGCAAGATCGGTACAAAAAGTGTAGACTGGGCAGACAAACAAAAACATAAATGTTCTGCTAAATCATTGAAGACTAAATAAACGAGGGGGAGAGAGTGAGAGAGAGAGAGAATTTCTGTGACACAAGATGGTCCTAACACATATCTTTAGGAATACTGTATGTTGTCATTAATACTGGTATTTTGCATGAAGACATTTCACATAGTCGAATAACAAGCGAGACTGATAACATAATGACGGACCACTATGAAAGTGGTCTGAGAGGTTCATTGGCTGAATATGATCGAGAGATTCTAAAGCTGTGAAATCTTGACTGCATTGATGTTGTAGAGTAGTTTTCACAGTGGAAGCTTCTATTTCAATAAGTCGTCCTAAATTAGGTTCGACGTACAAAACGTTAGGAACTTGAAATAAGAGTTAATGACGCAGCAATCTAGTTGTGAGGGTTGATACTTCAATGTCCGACATCGACTGACTCACTCAACATCACTGAGCCCAACTGGCCATTGCTACTACTACTACTTATTATCTGTGGGAGAGTCTCTTACAATAGAATAGGTATTATGGTATAACAATTAATTTCAACTCTTATTAACATTAGGTTGGTGCAAAAATAATGACGTAATAATGTCGTTTTTTAAAGTATTTTTAACGTCAAAAGACGACATTATTACGTCATTTTTTTTGCACCAACCTAATAACTGCATTGTTTCATTCCAGGTAAGCTGACAACGGACTATTCAAAAAAGACTTCAAAAGTAACTAGTAGCGATTTCTCTTGAAAATGGACATAGTGATGTTACCAAATATCTGCAAAAAAGATTTAGCCTCTAAAGACATTCATGTCGACATGACTGCACTATTTATCATCATCATCATCATCTTTCGACCTCCCTGTGGTTAGTCGGAACTCTATTGACAAACCCTTTCTACACTGATCGATCCTGTATTGCTGTCTCCAGATCCCCAGTTTCCAACCCTCAGTTTCGAGCTATGGTATTGGAGAAAGTTTTCGTGAGAAGACACTTCCAATGATGGCATAGGGATAACGAGGAGGAGACGATTTCCCTGTCCGCTTGGTGGCAGTGGCCAGCAAACTGTAATCGTCTTCGTGTCAGCTTAAGAGATTTTTCTCAGTTCTTTGAACATTTTGTTAAGCGTTACATGGGATCTCCAAATAATGCTCTGGATTTTTCTAAGCAGATCTGTATATGTTTCATCCAGTTGTCTTTCAAGACGAACAGATAATGTTTCTGATCCACACAGTAGGACTGGTTTAATCAATTTTCTAAAGGTCTGGACTTTTAAGGAAGATGGCCGGTTCGAGCGCCAAATCTTGCGAAATGTCATACACGCATTACATGTAAAAGCTTTGTGGACGTAGAAGTCTTTTGCGGAAACTATTATGTGTGATCGAAGATATTTGAAGTCCTCAACTCTTTTGATGGATGAATTATTGAGTGACTTCAAATCGGATGGTTCAAGGGCGTTTGTGATATATAAATGTGCTGTAACGTTAGGAGGTGACGCTACGGTTTTATCAACGGTGCAAAAGTGAAAAGGTGCATTCAGAAGGAGAAGGAAGTGTCTTGAAGATGACCAAAAGTTCAGATAGTGACAGGCATTTGACTATAAATCATTCAATGCTATTAGCATATTCACTGAGAGTTTTGTTTGTTTTGTTTTGTGGCATATCAAACTCAATGGGTTATTTAATGCCGACAGAGTTTTTATTGCTGGTAATCTTTTTCTTCAAATATCTATTTCTGGGAATATTTTTCCTTGAAGAAAACTATAGTTGGTAATTTTTTTTTCAAAGAATGTATAGCTGCTTGTATTGATGGTCCTTTTTTTTAATTATTGCTGATAATAATTTTCCCTTAAAAAATTATTGCTACTAATATTTTTATTACAAAGTATTTCTGGTATTAAAACATATTTTTACACAAGTTTGGGTGTCAACTATTTGCCCATGACTGGTACCTTAACAGGTGCTACCACCCCGGGTTAGGGTGCACCTGGGAACACCAGCAATTAAGGGGTGGTTCCAAGCTGTTCAAAACCACCTCATCAGAGGCCTTGCTGTTGAACGTAGTTTATCGTCTTACCCAGGACGCGGATGTAGTTATTCCTTGAGAGATTTGAGAATATTCTGCATAATGAACTTAGCATGACGGTGGTTTCTGCTTGGCGTCTGCTTCTGGCGCCTGATCAAAATCGTACCAGCTGATCAGATCAAAGGGAAAATCTAACATTGAGGCAGATCCAGGTAGTTTCCTTGAATGTTTCCTATCCCAGTGTTGTCTTTATCACATTGAGCTAGAGAGAAAGAGACAATCCATGCAGTAGAAACACCCCTTCTCACCTGTTCCAAAGAAAGAGGTTTCCTTTGCAAGGAAGATTATGGCCGTGGTTTTTTTCGGGATGCAAAACGTATTGGGATTATTGACTATCTTCAAATGATCAAGCCATCAAAGTTCAGTACTTTATCAAGTCGCGGAGGCAGTTACGAAAAGCTATAAAGACCAAACACTCAGGAAAACTAACGGAAGTGGTCTTGTATCATCAGGACAAGGCTCCAGCACACAAGTCCTTCGTTTCATTGGCTGCTTTACGTCACTGTAACTTTGAACTGGTTTTTCACTCACCCTATTTTCCAGATTGAGCCCCATCTATCATCTGTTTCCAAACATGAAAATACTTGGCTGAGAACCACTTAGTTAATGATGATGACGTCATGCCTGCTTTTGTTGACTTTTCTGACGAACAAGATGAAATCTTCTTCACAAATGGAACCACAAAATCCAAGGTGTGTGAAAAATAAACCTCATTTTGTCACATTCTATGCGAGGATCATGGTTAGACTTTTCAGTCTATACACGTATCTTTACTTAATTTACTAATAAACAAAATTACATAGGGAAGTAAAAAAACGACTGGCTATAAAATAGTCATAACATATAACAAAATGAATTGACCATGAAGTGATTTTTTTCATTATTTTACGGCAAACAAAGCAATGAAGCCATTGAGCGACAATTGTTTCTAAGAGTGAAGGAAACAGAGAACCTTGCTCAGTAGTGAAGAAAATAAAAATAAAAACATTCCAGACGAGCACTATTGATGCTTCATTTAAATTTTAGAAGATCGTAGCTGACAATAGAGAAAGTAATCGGAATTCTATAAGCGAGAAAAGTGAGATAGGACTATTAGCATAGAGCTTACGGGGATAACTCCAGATTTGCTCAGTGAAATAGAGAAGTCTGGCTGCCAATCTTCTCCTATGTTTAAATACCAGAAGTTGGGGAAACAAATAGTAAAGATCGTCAGATAAATTACCATGAAAACATTTATAGAAAAATCCAAGGAATGTGGTGTGAAATTTATCAGTTGAGGAATTGGCAGTGGTTCTCAGTTCAAACCATCCAACTCTTCATCGTCATCTTCAACAATTTGGAAAAGTTCCTAAACTTGGAAAATGGGTGCCTCATGAATTGTCTGAAAACAACCTTAAATCCCGAGTTGACATCTGCTCTTCTCTCCATTCTCGCCAACTTGTTTCACCTTTTTTGGATAGAATTGTGACTGGCGATGAAAAATGGATCTTTTATCGAAATGTTAAGCGTCGTAGACAGTGGCTTGGTAAAGGGGAAGGACCCCAGCCACAGCCGAGAAGGGAACTTCATGGGCAAAAGGTTCTTCTTTCAATCTGGTGGGTTCGCCAAGGAATAATCCACTTTGAATTCTTACCACTTAATGCAACAATTAATGCTCAAATATACTGTTAGCAATTAGAGCGTTTGAACCAAGATTTGAGGAAAACAAGACCTGCTCTAGTGTATCAAAAAGAGGTGATGTTTCCTCAGGACAATGCACGACTCCACACAACAAGAATCACATCACAAAAGATCGAAGAACTTGGTTGGGAGAAAATTCCTCATCCACCTTATTCTCCCGATCTTGCTCCTTCAGACTACCATTTGCTTAGTAGCTCACAGAATCATTTGGAAGAAACAGCTTTTGTAACACAGGAAGAGGTTAAAACTGACATTTGTGAGTTCTTCGAATCAAAGCCAAAAGAATTTTACAGTAATGGAATTAGT